GCTGGACACACGGACACAGCACCGGTCAGTGCCGGACACACGGACACAGCGCCGGTCAGTGCCGGACACACAGACACAGGGCCGGACATATGGACACAGCGCCGGTCAGTGCCGGACACACGGACACAGCACCGGTCAGTGCCGGACACACGGACACCAACGGACAGGGCCCTGCAACTCTCCGGACACGCCACCGGTCAGTCCCGGCCGCACAGACCCCCGACGGACAAACGGACGCCGCCGGACACACGGACACAGCCCCAGAACGGGGCGAAACGGCGCCGAATCGGGCAAAGCAGGGGATGGGTCCGGCCAGAGCCCGGAGCGGCCGGAGCCAGGACAACGAGGAGGAGGAGGAGGAGGAGCCCGGACCGGCGGGAATGACCACAGCGTTGGTCACTCCACGGCGTGGGGAGCTCGGAGCGGCCACGGAAGGGGCCGCACATCCCCAAAGAGGCACCCGAGTGTCCGGCAGCCCCGCGGAGTGACCGGCGCGGGGGGCCGGGGGTGGTCAGCGCGCGGCGACGCCGAGGACGGGCGGGATTTTTGGGGAGGGGGAGGTGGCGTGGGACCCCCGTCCTCGGTGTCGCCGGCGCGGGGGTCCCGTCCTGGCGAGGAAACACAGACAAGTGAGGCTGGGGGAGGGGCGGGACCCCCCGCTGTGGGGGTGGGGAGGGGGCTGCAACCCTTCCCCCCCCCCCCATGACCCCCTCCCGTGGTTTATCCCCACACCCCCAGACCCATTTATTGAGGGGGGGGTGTCCCACCTCGGGGTTAAAAGTCGCAAAAAAACAGCAACGAAAAAAAATTCGGGAAGGGGCGCGGGATGAGGGGTGACCCCCCCCCCCCCCCCCAGGGACCCTCCCCCACCGGGGGCCTCAGCCCAATTTTGGGTTATTCCAGGGAAATTTGGGCGATTCCGGCGGAATTTGGGGAATTTTGGGGCGATTGGTGCAAATTCCAGGCGGGATTTGGGGGCAATTTTGGGGGGTGACCCAACGCGGGCGTTTTTTGGGGGAATTTGAGGCGTTTTTGGGAGCGTTTGGGGCAATTCTGGGATATTTTGGGGCTCAGCACGGCTGCCGTATTTTGAGGGAATTTGGGGTATTTTGGGGTAACTCGGGGAGTTTGGGGGCGCCGCACGAGCGCAGCAATTTGGGGAAATTTGGGGGATTTTTGGGTAAATCGAGGGTTTGGGGCGTGCAGCACGGGCAGCGTTTTGGGGCAATTTTTGGGTATTTTGGGGTGACGCAGGAGCACAAAATTTTGGGGCAATTTAGGGGATTTTAGGGTAAATTTGGGGGATTTGGGACGCGGCGTGAGCAGCGGTTTGGGGCAATTTTGTCAATTTTGGGGCGCAGCATTTTGGGATAACTCGGGGAGTTTGGGGGGGCGCAGCGTGAGAAGCAGTTTGGGGCGTTTTCTGCAATTTGGGGGCGCAGGAATTTGGGGCGTCAGGGGCAGTTTTGGGGTGCAGCATTTTGGGTAAATTCTGGGTATTTTGGGGTACACCCGGGGGTAATTTTGGGGCACCACGTGAGAGCAGCAGTTCGGGGCAAAATTTGGGTATTTCGGGGCGCGGCGCAAGCGTAACATTTTGGGGTGACCCGGGGTGTTTTGGGGTGATTTCGGGGGGGATT